TGCCAATTCCCTTGATTGTTGCCACCACTCAAATTTCCTTGGTTGTTAGAATTCCAATTGCCTTGATTGTTTTGAGGTGGCTATTGTTTTGAGGTCACCATTTTCTCGCAAAAGCAGGTTTCGACATGTGAAAACTCTTTAAACGGATTAAAAGAGAAGAGTCGCTACCTAACGATTTTTAAGGTGCGTAAGGGCTCAAATTACCTCAAAGAGAAGGTGTTAGGCACTCTTCGAGGTCCACAATGTGGTTCCCAGTCGAATTTTAAACTATGGGATTATTTGTTTTATTAAGCAAAAAAAAGTACGAAATTATTAAATGATAGGCTAAATTGCTAATTTTTAAGGCAATTTAAATCTAAAATCTCAATATTCAACTAAAATTCATTAGAAAGGCAATTGAATAGTAATGCAATTCCTTTTCTTTTTTCTTTTTTTAAATATGAGATAGTCCAGTAACATACACAAAATAAAAGAAGTGATCGCACATAAGCAACTATAGAAGTATAAATGAGCAAAACTAAATAACTAACAAGATAATCTTTATCTCTTTTCAATATCACCAGCTCGTGAGGCTTCCACCATTTTCATAGCAACAAATAATTCATGGGGAGGTAAGAAGAGTAACAAAGCAGGCAAGCAAGTAGTAGATGCTCACAAGTAAATATGAAAACTGTGAGCAGAACTAACCTTAAACTCCAATAACAATACTGTATTGTGTACCTGAGTTTCATGTGCATCAAAGAAGAGGAAATACGAAGCTAGTAGACTTCTTCTTCCCCGTGGCGAGATTTATGTAGATGAATTTTCATGGCAACCATAGCTCGAACACAAAAAAAGGTTAGTAAAAATGTGCGCCACCTTGAAGGCATGACGTTGTGACAATTGGTAATCACATGTCGTTAACCTTGGTGGCGACTTTATTGTGACGCCAAAATTTAACTAACACATAAGCAGGAAAAGCACATAATTTGACTAGCCAGTCGAGAACAAGTATATCAAGATAAATAAATAAATAAATGAATAATTAACAAATATTATACTCCCTCTGTTCCAATTTATGTGAACCTATTTCCTTTTTAGTCCGTTCAAAAAAGAATGAATTCTTTCTAAATTGGAAACAATTTAGCTTAAACTTACAATTCTACACTTAATGAGAAACTTTTATAACACACAAATACTCTGGGCCTTTTTTGACTTATTTAGGATCCCAAATTCCAAAAGTCTTCATTTTCTCTTAAACTTCGTGCCCAGCCAAACAGGTTACATAAATTGGAGCGGAGGGAGAATAAATAAGAGATAACGACATGCTGGCACTTAAGAAATATTACAAAGAATTCACATAATAAGCAAACATTTGCACGGTAAAAAAGAGAAGACAATTCAATAGTAAGAATCTTTAGAAAAAAAAAAAACTGGCTTAGTCATTTTTTAAAATAGGATTATATATTAAAGACTTGATGATCTCATAGTTCTTGACCTCCCACATGCCATGAATTAGCTTGGAGAGGATACACACAGAGAACATCATATACGGAACGACATGAGACACAAATTAAACCATCATACAAGTAAATATAATGGAAGAAATTATTCAAAACATTTGGTGCAAATAGATATACAAGTGAGCGTGAAAGAAATCTATAATATTTCAACTACTACATATGATGTAGTAGCGTGATTTTATAAACAAATAAAATTAGAACTTCAAGTTATATAAACAAAGCATGGCTGGAACATTTTTTCAGAAAAAAAAAAAGGAGGGTTTACGCAGACCAACATTTAGGAATGAAATTCCATAAGACAAAATGCTAACTAAGTTTATCTATATATAAACAGATTGCTAAAGGCTAAAACTTTATCATGGAACACAAAATGAAACACATAAGCTAAGTAATAATAGCATTCAGCTAAATTAAATCATAAAGGGTATATAAACTCTCTACTTACAAATAATTTTGAAACGATTTTTAGGGAAGACCGTAGCATTCAATCATTGGTTTCGAGCTTTAAACGCATGGTCTTGAACGCAGGTCGTGAGAGTAATAGATGATGTGAAAACGGCTACCACTAAACATGCTCTTTCTTGCTTGTTGTGAATCAAATTGATGAATCGGGATGCCGAATCCAGGCGGGCTTGATTCGGCATACTTGAACTCCAACATATTATACTGGAGTTCCAGAATAAGTATGTTGGAACTCCAGCATAATATGATGGAGTTCCAGCATAAGTACACTAGAACTCCAGCATAATATACTGGAGTTCCAGCAAGTATATTGGTCCAGTATAATATACTATATTATACTGGAGCCAGCAAAGTATACCGGCCCAGCATAATATGCTGGAGTTCATACACAAGTGCACCGAACTCCAGTATATTATGCTGGACCGATCTCTATTGCAGCAAAATAGTGGCTATTTTTAATTGACTTGATAAACGCTGGCTATTTTTGATTGACCAGTCCGAAAACTGACTATACCGTAAAATTTAAACCAAACTACCTCGTTTAATTTGAAACGGAGGGAGTAATTAGTATTTTTTTTTTAGGAAGATATTATAAGGCTTAATTTGGAAATGACTCTTGGCAGAAGCTTCAAAATTTAAAAAAATTAAAGTAAATGGCTAATGAGTTGTTTGGAAAAATCTCATGCGTAGAGCAATGTGAGAGTGATTTGGGCGGCTGAAAATACATGGCATTCCCTTTCGGTTTCTATTTTAATAAATTCCACAATAATTATAATAATAGTAATAGTAAAATATTAATTACTAAATGCAAGAAGTGAGAAGTAAAACGTTGAGTCCTTACTACTTTATAGAATATGCTAACAATAAATTATAGTACTTTAAAACTGAAAATTGTAAACTATATAATGAAAACTCCATCGTACGGTGCAAAGATAGAAGTAATAATACACAAGAATGTTATAAATACTATTATTACCTTTTTAAGTAAAATAATAACTTCTCGGAATAAATTGAAGTAAGGAGCGAAAAAATTGGGTGTCAATATCTTGGAATTTGTTTCTTTGCCCTTGAAAGTTGTTCACATATTGCACCTCCTCTTCTTGTTCATTGTAAGAATCATCTTGATCAGAACCACTATTCTCTTGCACATAATTCTCCACTCGATTTTGCAGTTGTGGATCTTGGTCCTTCTTTTGTTTATCATCATGTTCACCCCTGCCGTGGCATTGACTTGCTTAAGATTTTGCACTTATTGAAGTTGAGCCTTTGCTAGTTGATTCATGGTGGTGATCAATTCGGCAATGGCATGCCCATTGTCATGCAACTCTTTGTGAAGGTGGATCACGTTCAAATCACCTTGTGTAACATTAGCCCGAGATTGCCACACCGATGATGTTTCTGCCATTTTATCTAAAATCTCACACCCCTTCGCATAAGGCGTTGTCATGAAGTTCCCACCGGCACGTTGATTCACTACACATTGGTTGGTTGTGTTAATCCCATGATGCAAAGTTTGTTGAATCGCGTTCTCCGTCATATCGTTGTTGGGAAATTCCTTAACCATTGTTCTATAGCGTTTCCATATCTCATGTAGTGGTTCATTCAGCTCTTGCTTGAATGCCAAAATCTCGTTCTGAAGTGTAGCCATGTGCCCCATAGAGAAGAATTTAGAAATAAAATTTTTCGCCAACTCATCCCTAAGTGTAAATGGTATAGTTCGGCAAACGTTCCAACCAATCTAAAGTTTTCCCCCGTAGAGAGAAGGGAACAAACCTTAGCCTCAATCCATCCTCGGAGAAATTTGTTTGTTTGCTCCCCCAACGAGTGTCTAACAACACCTTCAAATGTTATACGCATTCTGACTTGGAGTATTGGTGAAGAAACCTCGTTGCTCTAGCAAAGTGAGCATCATATTGGTGATTTAAAAGTTGTACGCCCTAATACGGCGAGGGACTATAACACTAGCGCATCCTTCATTGGGTAACACCTGGTGTGGAGCTGCTCGTGGTGGAGGTGGGGGTGGAGCAGGGAAATTACCATGAGGCACTCAGCCTCTTCTATTGGCTTGAGATTCAAGATGAACCTCATCAACTTGCTCATCCTCGACGTCCATATCCCCAAAGGCAAATTTCCAAGCTCATTGTTCACCATGGTTGTACCTACAATTTCTCAAACAAGTTAGTAACACCAGAGAAAAAGAAGATATTTTACAAACACACCGAAATATATAGCTAACACCGTTTTTAGTTCCCCGACAATGATGCCAAAAATTGATCACGTCCACAACACACCTTAATAGAGATATGAAATGGTCGTATACAATAATAAATACCCAACTAGGAGTCGGGGAAGAATCCACTGGGAGTTAGGGGTATATATTTTAAATGAGCAATTGGACTATCTAGATTGCACTTCCATAACAAGGTTTTGCTTTCTATTTCTACTGTTAATCTAATAATTGCACGATAAAGAAAATAGACTAGAGACAAATATTTTTAAGGTTTTTCTAAAGGGGTAAAAGGCCTAAGGCTTTGACAATAACCTAGGTGTTTTTCTAATGGGATAAAGATGTTAATGCTTATTTTGTTTATTGAGGTGTATTATAGCACTCAACTCTACGTTACCCACTCAATACCTCAGAGAGTGGTTTTGCCCAATTTGGCTTTCTCAAGACCAAATGGGTATCACCCAAAATAATTGATAAGAGCTCAAGTCGGGTTATTACTATCTCTAGGTTAAACCCTTTAATTGGGTTAATCAATCTCTCAATTGACTGAATTCCTTGTTAGCTAAGTTATCCTAAACTAGGTCCCTCTTTCTCAAGTAGAAAATAAGTCAAATAGACATGAATTAATGTTTGCAACCATTAATTTTGCCATTAAAGCATGACACTACAACAAAAAAGATCTTTAACGGCAATTATTTAATGGCAATAACTTAATTGCTGCTAAATTATTTAGTGAAGGCAAAACATTAATAGCTAATAAATATTTGTCAGCAATAAGTATATTTTTGGCGGTGATTCAAGAGAATTAGTCTGCTAAGCTTTATTTTTACCTTTTCTTTTCCCTCCAATTTTTTTCCCCTCTAAATCTTCTCCCGCCTAAATATTATATCACTTCTCTAATTTGCCTAAAAAAAGGAAAACCTACGCCTCTAAGAATTAGGTCTCATTCTTAAAAAAGCTTTTACAATTTTCATGGTGTAAGAAAACCTCCGCCTCTAGCAACCAAAATTTTCGCCAATTGAAAGGTATGATTTCTATCTATTTTTCTATACTTTTATATCTTTCTCTTAATTTTTCTTTATACACCTCTATCTCTATCTCTATCTTTTAGGATATTGTCAGATTGATTCATGTTCTTGAAGTGAAGGATGAAACTTTTTCTATTAATAATTATAACTTTAATTTGGTTTGCACTTTTTGCTTACTGAGATATTTGTTTTTGTGCTATATCTCTGGATTCTATGGTGCTACTACTCCCTCCCAATTATTTTATACATATTAACTTCTCAAAAATTCAATTATCAAATTAAACTTCAGGGTGAACACTTTTTTATCATTCTGATGTGTCAATAGTGAAATTTAATGGTGAAAAAAATCTGAAACTTCATTCCATGGAATTCATGTGGCAATTAAAGATTCTTTAAAAAAAGAAACAGTATTGGGTAGTTAGGTTTTCCACAGTTTGATAGTGTTATTTAGTTTTCATGAATTCGTTTTGTATAATGCGGCTTATTAGATGTTTAAATGGTGTTGATTCATTGAGCAAAATTGCATTATAATAAATTTTAGTTATAGTTTGCGAGCGGTCCTCTTAGGTGCTTCTTAATGATTATGCATCTGTAAAGTCATTTTTGAGCCAGCTGAATATGCACATTTATGAGGTTTTGGACTGTCCAAAGCATCCGAAAGTGCCCGTTCATGGTCTGAAATCAAAGCCTTGTTTGATATCTCACCTCACTGTTTAAAACTCTTCAAGTCTACTGCTGCGATCTGGCCAGTTGATGGTGCGTCTATACTGATCTTTTCAGTCTGCTGCATCTTAAAATTGTTTGGAGTTCCTTTTTTACTGGATATTATTGTCCAGTTTTCAATTTTCTTTACGTAAGTGTTATCCGTCTTTGCACCTCCATTCAATGCATCAGTAGCTTCAGCCTTTTCAACTACATCAATTGCATCATTAGTTCGATCACACAGCCCTGCTTTGTTGTCCTGCACAGGTGATACCCTCTGCCCGTTAGACTGCCCCTCACTGCTTGGACGAGGCAGAATTATCTGCTGCACATTATCATCTCTTAAGGCTGGTAAGTTAACTCCAACATCCTCCTCATGTGTAAGTGCATCAAAAGCATTTTGACAGGGGCGGATCTAGCGTGTAGTATATGGGTTCCCGGGAACCTAGTAACTTTTGCATAGACCCTGTATTTTTGTTAAAAAATTTATTAAATATCTATTTGTGAACCCAGTTATTATTGTATATTAATTTGAAATTACGACATGAACCCATAAACTTAAAATCCTGGATCCGCCTCTGCATTTTGAGTTATGATAGCTTTTGAGACATTCTGTCACACAACTGGGAAAGTTGACTGCTGCTGCGTATTTTCCACCAACGGAGTGTTACCTTGACTACTTGAAGATCCAAAAGTATAGAAATAATAGGGCCAAACAAAATATGCCTCACACAGGAGGATCCAAAAGTATTGCCGCCTTAATGGATGAGCAGGTACATGTATAATTACAAAATAAAATATTTTAAAACTCTTTTATCGTGCAGATTTGACATCAAATTTATTGTAATAGGCCAAGAATGGTATAGAGCCTACACGAGCAGAAATATTTATACTGACACACAAAAAACGTAAAGATGATAGACTATTGGATGAGGTGTCTGCAAAGGCAGTTGTAAGATTTCTTCTCTTTCTTTTATTTCTTGAACTAGGAAATAGATTTAAAAAAAAGGAAAACTTAAAAGAGAATAACTAAATTGAAAATTGGATTTTTGGTGTATTAAATTTATATGTATTGTTAACTATGTTATGCCCTTAATTAACTTACGGATGAACGAAAGGTTGAGGGATACTTACGGATCACATGACGAGCCTCCCCGCAGTGTTGCTTGGGAAGGAGATGTGTATTCCCAAGTGTTGGGAAATGATAAAAGTGGCTATGTTCATGGTTTAGGACTTGGTCCAACTCCTTCTATGTTGTGGGGCAGTAGATCTTCCTTAAGAAATATTGTTATAGAGGATTCGTGTGATGAGGTTGTACAAAAACTAAAGCCCGAGATAAAAGAGTTAAAAGAGTTAAATGAAAAACAAAATGATGAAATGAGTTTTATGAGACAAGAACTATCATGGATGCGGCAAGTCATGAGAAAAATTGCTCAAAATGAGTTACCTATGCCTCAGAATATCAATGGAGTCTTAACTGGACAGGTAACTCAATTTCAAAAGTTTTAGGCGTATATAGGCTAAAAAATGCTTGTTCCAGTTATTAGCTATATATATACTTGAGAGTTATGAGGAAATTTTCACTTCTTGTAGCTTTCAAGGTTTGTTATAAAATATGTGTGTGGGTTGAGTGTTCCACGATTTGGCTCTTATCGATCTTTAATTCTACATTCTTTCTTTCCTCCTTCTCTGTTATTGATTCTGCTGGGTGTGAGATCAGCGCCATGACAGCTCAATTGGACAGGATTTGATCACTAGGCCATTTATGGTCTGTTTGTGGGATGGATGGTGGCAATAGTGCTAGAGTTATATAAAATATTATGTGTGTATATTAGTCTCATCTCTGGGTATGATGATTTAACGTGAAATGCCCAAAATAAGAAGAAAGAAAATAAAAAAATTGCTTGCTAAGTTTCAAAATTGTGACGTGGTACGTAGGTTGTGTAAAATTACTATACTTTTTCTTATACACAGGTAATGTTGGCTTTACAATCACTCTTAACGGCATGAGAGCATTATATTCCTTTGATACACTTTTAGTTCGAATTTATTCCATAATCTTATAAAATAATTTTACGTCTTAATATTTATCAGGTCGTTGATACCAACCGTGGCCATGAGTGAATACCAGAATCACCCAATATGCATAATGTAGCTGGAAATACTCCGTCGTCTCGTGGTACTTTTCTGTGCTTTCACATAAACTCTTTTTCTGTTCTATTCATTTTTTCTTTCTATAAGTGAAAAGCATTATGTAAGAAATGTATTAATGCAAACCTTAACGGACTGTAGCATAGGATTATTAGTTTGTTGCCCTTGATGTATGCTTAGTTTTAGCCAATAATTTAAATTTCTAGAGTATGTCTATCAGCAACTAGTTTCTGGATCAAGGAAGGTCAAGAGAATGTGTTTATCAATGTTGTTTGGCTTTTGCTTAATCTGGCATGTGGAAAACAATTCCTTCAATACTCAATCCTCAATCATCACCTGAGAATTCACTCCTAGTCAGTAGGCACAATATGCAACTCTCCCATTTCTACATATATCCAGTAAGCTTGTCATTTTTATTGTACATAGGTTACCCAGTTAGTATTAGGTAGTTGAAGCAGAAACCTCATATCCTTCCAGAAAGCTTTGCACTTTTTCTGTTTCACCAATGGCACAAAGCTCATATCCTAGTCCGCTTGCTAAACAATAATGAGCAAAGTGGCCATCTTTTGCGCAAAGGAAAATGATGCTTTAACTAATTAAGCACCCTATATGGTGTGTTTTTGTTGGATCTAAAAGGTTTGACATTATCTATAAGTTTGACCTTTCCAAGATTCAAAGAGCAGGCAATGTTTTTTTACTCAAAGAGCAAAAATTGTTTTCTATTACTTTCTTTAGATAGAATTAGTAGCATGGAGTAAATCAAATCCAAATCAATTACTCTGTATGAATTAGACAAAAAAGAGGGCCAAAATTTAGGCCACCGAATGGCTAGCCTAGTGCACCAACGTTTCGAGTTAGGACTTCCATAGTAATGTAGTCAGGATTACATGCATTTTCAGTCATTTGGTACATTATTTCAAATGCCTTTTCCACCCAATTCCTCTCCTGAAGGCCTTTGAATATGGCATTGTATGTGATGGTATTTGGTCTTACCCCTTTGTCCTTCATATCACCCAACAAAGAATTACCAGTTTCTACTTTGTCACTCTTGCAGAGAGCGTCGATCAAAGTATTGTATATGACAGTGTTTGGTGGCACATTTGTAGAACAACACATATTCTGAAATATTTTCATAGCTTCATCAACATTTCCAGCTAAACAATTTGCATTTATTAGTGCTCCATATGTAACAACATTAGGCAAATAACCATCATCAATCATCCTCTTCATAACTCTATGGGCAGTTGCAAATTGCTCCTTCTGGCTGAAATATGATATCAAAGTGTTGTAGGTGTAGCGATCATGTTTCCCATGCTTGCACATTCCATCAAGCAAAGTATTCAAACTAATCACATTTGGCACTACCCCTCCCTTTTTCATCTGGTCAAAAAGCTCGTATGACCTCTCAATCTCGCCTGCTTTGCAGAAACCATCTATCAAGCAATTATAGGTAACAATATTAGGTTCATATCCACTCTCCAGCCTCATCCTTTCCATCAACTTAAACCCTTCTTCTTGCCTCCCTACCTTGCAAAGCCCATCATTCAATGTATTGTAGAGAACAAGGTCTGGCTTAACAAGAATGCCATCACTTTCACTGCCTCCCATCTTCTCAAACACCTGCATTGCCTCATCGACCTTGTAACTTTTGCATAAATGATTGATGAGAATCCCGAATGTCACAACATCTGGTTTACATGTATATATTTCTTTGCCTCGCTATTTGTCCAGAATTGGTGTACATGTATATATTCATTTGCCTCTCTATTTGTGCAGAACTGGTGTACATGTATGTGGCTGTACGAGTTATTGTATTTTAGATAGGACTATCATCTAAATGATAGAAATAATAAATGAGTAAAAGGAGATTCATTTTTCGCATTACTTATTTTATTATTTCAGGTTAAACAGTATGATGTGAAAGATTTCAGTACGAGGAAGATTTGCAGAATTGTTTGAGGGCTTCTACTCTTTTGTTATTATGAATATTATATAGAATTAGCGATGATAACATTGGTTATTTTGTTTGAACAATGTAATTTTATCTTACATGTCGTTGACACATTAGTAAGAATTAATACTTTCTTTTGTTTTTCTAGATTGAATGAAATATATTATGTTTTTATGAGTTAAGTAGCGTATTTTATTAGCATTTTTGTAGTTTAAAGATAGTTTGGTTCTTTATTTGCCGCTAAAAGGGTATTTTTAATCGAGAACTAATTTGATTTAGCATTTGTTATAGTTGCAGCTACACAATTGCCATTATAGCCTATGACTTTTAGTGGTAATTTAATTCAATTTACTCGCAATAAAAATGGGCGTTAAATTGCAAAATAGGCCTCTTATGGAATTAGTTTAGCAACAATTTTAGCTGCCGCTAAATTATTACTGTTAAAGCATGTGACTTTTGGCGGCAATATAGTTTGATTTATTGGCCAAAATAAATATTAGACATTAAAGTGCAAATTAAGCCTACTATGGAATAGATTTTGCAGCCATTGAATTGCCACTAAATATTTGACATTAAAGCATTCTACTTTTAGCGGCAATATAATTAGATATATCGGCCAAAAAGAATGACCGTTGAAGCACAATATAAGCCTATTATGAAATGGATTTAGCAGCCATTTAATTGCCGCTAAACTGTAGCCGTTAAAGCTCGGGACTTTTAGCGGCAATAAAACCTAGCTTTACCGGCACTTCATCGAATGGTCGCTAAAGGCTTTAGCGACGCCAGCAACCACGGCTAAAAAAGAATAGCCGGTAAATCATTTAGGGGCAATATCTATTGTCGCTAAAAGTTTTTTTATTGCCGCTAAAGACCTTTTTTGTTATAGTGTGAACTAAGCTAAATAATCAACACGTAATCATAAACAAGCACTAAATTAGATACCCACAAGGTTTATACACTAGGGTCGGGTCATAACCATAGTAAAAGTCTAGCTACTCATGATGGGATTCGAAGAAAATAAGGAAAAAAACTAATTAAACTCATAATGGAAGATTAAAATGATTAAATCTAATGTAAATACACCAAAATAATATAAAACTTCCTAAAGTAGTAAAGAAAAATAGCTACAACAGCTTCAGATGTTCAAAATTTGACCTAATTTTGTGAAACTCGTCTATTTAAACAGGGCTAAAAATCTGGGACAAAAATTCCCCTCGGGAGGTTCTGCGGCCGCACAATTCCATGTGTGATCCGCAGATTTCTTCATCTGGTGAGAAGTGGAGTTCTATGACCGCACATTTCTGAACTACGGCGCGAGGAAATCTTCTGCGGCCGCACATTTCTGGACTGCACCCGCAAGGCTATCTTCTGCGGCCGCACAATTCTTGTGCGGTCCGCAATTCACAAAGGCTCCCGGGCTTGGTCTTTTTGCATACTCTCTGATCTTTGACCCTAAGCCCAGTTCTGCAGTTGCACAATTCATTTGCACTCTGCACATTGCTGAAAGCTCTGCTATATTTTCCTTCTTGGTTTGCGGCCGCAAATGGAACAATTAATATGGAACGGCATCACCCTTCGTGTTTTTACACTCTTCCTCACTATGTATTAATTAATAATGAAGCAATAAACGGCACGTCATCACCCTTCGTACTTCAACACTCTCCCTTACCATGTAATAATGAATAAAAAAAATTGGGAGATAGATAATGCAAAAATAAACCTTACGTCTATAATGGTTCCACGATGTTAAACCTCAACTTCCAAATATACTCAACCATCACAATCAAATTCATAAATGCGGAAAGAACAATCAATTAAGAGATAAAATAATCTAAGCATGGATATCATAAGTAAAGAAGGCAAAAAATTACAAGAAAATAGTCCCACCCGCATGCTTTAACCCAACAATAACGCATAAGTACTCGTCACCTCACATATATGTCATACCTACACATTTAAACACGTATCAAATAAGCAACTAGCAAAAAGTTCTAATCTCTCAAGTCAAGGTTAATCACGACATTTACCTCACTCTGCAGGAATCCGCCTCCAAACCATTCTTATCTAACCAAAATCGACTCGATTACGTAAAATAATGCTAAGGGAATCAATTTTAATCCCGGGTCCGCATGGTCAAAACCCGAAATTCGGACCAAAACCCATTTACCCATTCACTCCTGAGCCCAATTATGTAATTAGTTTCGAAATCCGACTGAGGTCTAAATCCCGAATTTGCAAAAAAAAAATCCAATTCTTCCTAAATCCCTAGTTTTCGACCGTGGAAGAACAAAGATTAAGCCTGGAAATTAATGGGTGATGTTAGTAATGGAAGAAAATGAGTTAAAGTATACTAACATATGAATTGGTGATGAATTTTCTCTTCAAAATTTCCTCTATGCCGATCTCTAATGGAAAGATGGTGAAAAATGGGTGAAATCCCATTTTTGAAATATTTAAATGACTAGGCGTCAGGTGTTCATCACGATTTCGAGAAACTGACGCATTAGCGAAGAGCACTGCCTATTTGGCTTACGCGATCGTGAGGTACTCTACGCGTTCACGTAGGTTTAGCCCCCCCCCTCCACACACACACATCCGCATTCGCGAGCCTGGGCTTGCGTTCGTGTCACACTGGCCCCTTCCCCAGGTCCAAAGCCCTACGCGTTCGCGAGGAGTAGGTCGTGTTTGTGAAGGGTAGGTCCCCTATTGCTCTGTGTTCGGGATTAAGGAAATCCAACCGCAGCCCTGTTTACTCTTCGCGATCGTGGGAGTACATTTGATATCGCGAAGAAGAAGACACCAGAAGCTAAAGAAAACCAGAATTTTCTAAGTTCAAACAATCTGTAGCCTACCCGAAACTCACCCGAGCCCTTGGGGCTCCAAACCAAACATGCACACAAGTCCAAAACACCAAAATAACACCTAGAACTACGAATTGGACACCAAAACAAATGAAATTTTAAATAAAACTTAAGAACTTTCATTTTAACAACCGAACGTCCGAACTACGTCAATTCAACTCCGCTTTGTACCAAATTTTGTAGGCAAGTCATAAATATAGTAATGAACGTATACCAAGTTCGGGAACCAAAATCCAGACTAGGTAGCAATAAAGTCAAACTTCCATCAAATTTATAAATTCTTTAAACCTTTAAACTTCAAATTTTCAACAAATTGCGATCACTCGAGCTAGGGACCACCGAATTCGATTTCGGGCATACGCCCAAGTCCCAAAACATGATATGGACCTACCGGGACCGTCAGGACATGGATCCGGGTCCGTTTGCTCAAAACGTTTATCGAAGTCAACTCATATGAATTTTAAGGAACGAATTCATATTTGAATCAATTTTCCACATAAAAGCCTTCTGAAAAAGGATGCGGACTGCGCACGCAAATTGAGGAAGGCTAAAAGGAGCTATTTGAGGTTTTGAAACATAGGATTAAGGGTTAAAACTCTAGATGACTTATCGTGTCATCACATTCTCCACCTTTAAAACAAACGTTCATCCTCGAACGGTTAAAGAAAAGTACCCGGACTAGTGAAAAGGTGTGGATATCTACTCCGCATGTCCGACTCTGACTCCCATGTGGTTGCCTCAAATGGCCGACCTCTCCACTGCACTCGAACTGAAGGATAACTCCTTGACCTCAATTGTCAGACCTGCCGGGCTAGAATAGCCACTGGCTCCTCCTCAAAAATCAAATCCTTGTCCAACTAGACTGAGCTGAAATCTTACACATGAGACGGATCACCGTGATACTTCCGGAGCATGGACACATGGAACACCGGATGGACTCTAGATAAACTAGGTGGCAATGCGAGCTTATAGGTCACCTCACCCACTCTCTCAAGAATCTCAAAAAGCCCGATGCATTGATAAGTAGGGATTTTGACCACTTATTTGCACCCTTTTACTTTCATTTTTGCTCAAAAATGCTTAAAGGTATTCTCGAGAACTGATAAAATGTGCTTACTTGGAGGATTATTGGAAAATGAGCCAAAGAGTTGAAAATCAACTCAAGAAGGAGTACTTTTGGACAAGGATTAAAACAAAGCAAAAAATAGCAAAGTGCGGACCGCACAATACTGTGTGCGGCCGCAGAGCATGAAGAGACCTCTGATAGATTTTCTTTGCAAAGTGCGTACAACACAATTATTGTGCGACCGCAAAAGATAAGGTTCAAAGAGATGTGATTTTGATCCATGAAGAAGTGCAGACCGCAAAATTATTGGCCGGACGCAGAATCAAAAGTGCGGTCGCACTCAAAAATGTGAGGTCCACAGAAGTCTCTCATGTCAAAGATCAAGCTCAAGAGTGCGCCCGCACTCATAAGTGTGCGATCCGCAGAATCTGAAGAAGTGCGGCCGCAATGTAGAATTGTGCGGCCGTAGAAGTCCATCCTGTCTAGACAACATCAAAGTGCAGACCGCACACAAAATTGTGCGGCCGCATAACCTCCGCACTTGTCCTATAATTTCAGCTGTGTATAAATAGTCTTTTTGTCAAAATTAGGTTAAGTTTTGAACACCAGAAAGCAGATAGCCGTTTTTCCTTTACTGCTTAGGGTAACTTTGTGATAGTTTATCATTTTAACATTGGATTTTCTTCTCTTTATCATCTATTATGAGTTTAATCTTATTTTCTTTTTTAGTTTCTTCAATTTTCTCTATGAGTAGCTAATTTCTTAGCTAGGGTTGTGACCCAACCCTTGTATGGGTATTTAATGGGTGTTTAATTTAGGGCTTGTTTGTGATTGGGTGAGTGATATTTAGCCTAGTTCTTGCTTGAATTTAAGAACTAATGGTTGCAAACATTGATTCATGCCTAAATGACTTAGACTCTACTTGAGAAAGAGAGACTAAGTCTAGGAAGTTTGGTTAACAAAGATTTGGGGTGAACTCAAGAAATTGATAGCCCCAATTAAAGGGTTGAATCTAGAGATAGTAAGACCCGACTTGAGCATCTATCACTTGTTTTGTGCATTACCCATTTAGACTTGAGAAAGCCAAATTGGGCAAAACAACTCTAACTACCGAGAGGTATTGAGTGGGTAATTGCGTGTGATTGCTTTATTACGACCTTGACCAATCAAACTTGCCCTAGAGACTACAATCCGTTAGGTAGCCACCTAGGTGGAAGTCACGACCTTAGATCATTTATAAACTTGAAAAACAACA